TAATAATGAAATTTTTACTAATACAAAATAATTACCATACGGAAATAACATACGTATTTTTAATCGAAATCGACTAAAATAATTTTTATATAGCCATTATGTTGATCTCTTACAGTAATACCTCTGGACGCAACTTAATTCCTCCATGATTGCTCAGATAATGGGCTAAGCTGAGGATAATTCATTCGTAAAATATGAATCTAAAGTTATTTGTCGTGTCTTTATTTTCCTCTTCTTGAGAATCTCATGAGATGCCAAGGTTTCATTTCAACTCCTCCTTACAAATTCACTTCCCTCCTAGTCAGGTTCCATTTCCCAACTCTTCGATGAGTTGACATTAGCAAACAATTGTTTGAGGACACCAGTCGTTATCTCTATAACAGTTACAGTCTTGTTTGTCTCCTCTTCTGTTTGAGAATCAAAATGTTCTATCAAATTTGCTAATTTTTCTATATAAAATTTATACTGTATTTAGTATTTACAAAAAATATTCTCTACCTTGTGGAAAGAGTTTTTTGAGAATTTTTGAGGAAAATTTGAATCAAGCGTCCAATAAATTAAAATATGTAATGAAAATAAATTATGCTCTGGAAAACTCACAATACGTGGCCTTTTAAAATTTCCTGGCCGGTAGATGTTGTCAATATTAGAAAATGTCAACTAATTGGCGGTTATTGTGCTAAAATCGCCTATTACCGGTCAAAGCTGAAATTGTTTTGTTTTTATACTGCATTAAACGCTTTTGTACTTTGTTCGCTATCACTGCCTTTCGCTTATCAGGTGTTCCCCAAAATTTCATATAGTGTCAGAATGTATAAATGCCATTATGCCCGTTATGTTTTTAGTACCTAATGTTAGATTTTATGGTAACAGTTATAATAACAAAACAAGTTTCCAACTTTATTTTTTATTTTTATTTATTCTTAGAGTATGATTAATACAATAATATATTGTAGAAATCATAACATAAAACAATAGTGCAACGTAGAGAACTAGATTACTGAAATTTTGCTGGGAGGTTTATGTATTGGGGAATTGATACTATTGATATTAAATTTGGGTTGGGAGATAAAGAGGGTCGTGTGTCATATCTCGAGTGAGGTCTGACTAATAACGATTTTACTCGTTATTAGCATTTACAATTTTTTCATAAACTCCATCGCTACCCTCAGAACTAAGTTTTTTTTTGCCATTTTATAATTAAAAATATAACAAGTTCTTTTAAATAAAATATCGTAACCTATGGCAACACCAAATATTACAAGGAATGTTAAGCAACTCGTTGCAGGATTTTTTGTACAATAATTTCGCAGATAAGTGATAATGTAGAAATGATGTAGCCAGAAATAAGAAGAATAAATGGACCTAGTAAATCATAAAGAGTCAATGATCTGGTATTTTCAGTTTCTTCTACGTTTGAAAACGATTTTGATTTTGTTAATTCATCTTGCAGAAATTTCTGAGTGATACCAGCTTCACACAATTTGCGTAATCTGTATGAAATAAAATTTATTAATTAAAATTTTAGAACATACTTGCTGATATTTTAATTTGCTATTTAGAAAGAAAACCGTATAAGAAATATTAATTGAGTTATTCATGAAAAAAATTCATTAATTAATTTAAGTAGACGACAATGCGTTATATTATTCAATAATTTATATATTGTATCCGCTTATTGTAATCACTTTCAATCTTATCAATAATTTTAAAACTGCATATTTACAATATACATAAAATACAGAAGATATAAAAACATCTTCACTGTTGGTTCCTGTTGTTGGAAATGGTGGAAATGGAGAAGTTTTTGTATCTTCTGTATTTTGTGCATACTTTCAATCATGCTTATACTGATAATATTAATTAGAGAGTATTTTTAAGCATGGCTATAAATTCTAGAAATCCTGATTTTGTTGATCCTTGACATTACAAATGAATTTAAAACAATTTAAAAAGTATATAAAACTTGAACATTTATTAATATCATTAAATTATTTGTAAATCAGTGTTGTGAACGTGAAAAATTTGCATTACTGTTTTTAATAACAAGTTTTGTGTAACTGAATTAAGAAATTCCAGCAATTTCTGAGGTCGGTCCCGCCACAATACAGAGGAATTGCTTCTCAGATAACGGAGAATTTAATGACACACAAAGTGCTCGAGAATTAAATAGAGGAAAAGGTGTTTGAAGAAAGATAAGCATTATGTACAGCATTATGTACAGCAGGTATGTGTCAAACTCCTTCCAAAAAACTCAGGAAACTATTTTAAAGAACTAGAGAATGTTGCAAAGCACATTTAGTACGGAAACTTTATATTTATTTGCATACTTATATGTTTACGTATATAAGTATAATATAATTATCTGAACAATGTAATTATTTTATTAATAATAGTAACATACAAAGAACCTGTGTATTAAGAAGATTTTGATGCAGACAAAAATCTATACCATATTTGTGAAAAAAGTACACTTCACTAATCAGTGTAGCCTCCTTTGGTCTTTAAAACCTTCCTAATGTCATCAGGCATAGAATTACTAATATTCCTGCAATCGTGCAATGTTATTTTGTTCCACTCATCCTGTACACGTTCCCACAATTGGTGGGTGCTTTCAGGCGAAACTGGTTAGTCAGATAAGCGACGTTTAAGAAAAGACCAGATGTGTTCGATCGGGTTGAGATCAGGCGATTGAGGCGGCCACTCAAGAAGGCTAATATTTTGATCCCGAAGCGATAATATTACCCTCCGGGATGTATGTTTTGGATCATTATCTTGCTGATAAGTGAAAGACTCCTATCAATGTAGTAATAATCAACAGATTGTAGCAAATAATTGTCAAGTATCTCAGTGTAAATAACGCTATCCATTCTATTAGTTATAAAACATAGCATTCCAGGCTTAAATAGGTAATATAGCCGGAGACCACAATACTACCATCACCACATTTTAATGTCGCTCAGTTATAGACTTCATCGATCTAGTCCATAGTCAGTTTTGCCCCATCTGAAACAACTCTATTAATTTTGGATTCATCTGACCATACAATCCTCTTCCAATCTTCCTCTAAAAATTCATAGTTATCCTTTTCACTTTCCCGACTTTTCATCCTAGGTGAATGTTAAAATAATCATAAATTCGTACTAAAAACGCTTAAAACCATTAATTTATGATATTCTCTTTGTTTTTCTCATACGAGAATAGAAAAACTACGAATTTTTATCGAAGTTTTATCTAAATTATATATTTTTAATATAATTTTAATAGTTCAAACTCGACTTTGGTAAATACAAAAAGTTAAGAATAATTTTTCTTAATCTTTTTAAAGTGATTACAATAAGCTGATTGTACTGTGCTTCAATTATTGTATACAGCATTTTAATAGAAAATTAAGTAAAAAGTTGTTAATTTAAATATTACAATTAAAAATTACTGAATTGTTCAAAGTCTCAGTTATTTATGGAATATAAAAAAAAACTACTGGAATAATTATTTGAAAATATAACAAACATTAAATAATTTTGAATTTACTTGCATTTTGTTTATTTCAGGCAAAAATGAAACTCCTTTGGCAAATCCAAAAGCAGAAGTAAAAGAGAAAAGGGCATCTCTTGAAATGGTAACACTATGTTTTTTTAAAGTATTTGCAGTTTGAAGAATAACAAGTTTCTCTTCAATAAAAGCAAAATTTTCTTCAGAAATTCTTGTAATTCCTTCTTCATATGATGTAACCAAATTTGATTCATTTTTCTTCATTTCTGCATACAAATATTTTGCTACTTGGTCTTTTGTATTCTAAAATAAAGTATTGTTAGAAACTAACTTTTTAAATGAATTACAATGAATAAATAATGTATATAAACTCAATATACCACGAAACCCTCTTCGACTCCACTTGATTTCAAAGTTCCAGTTTTATATCTTCCATTTTTAACTTCAAGCATTAACTCCTTAAATGTCGTTGGGACAAATTCATATTCAGGTATTGATAGAAATGAAAACATGGTGCCAGAATATCCATTACAAATAACAAGTACAGCTAGCAACCAAAATATTATAATAAAACGTAAACTGTATCGCTTAATATTGCTGAAGTCTCCACCTACAATTTAATTAATAAGTAATTGTATTGATTTAGCACTCAATTTTGCGATTTATTTTATGCATAAAATATAAATAATTTATTATATTATAGTATCTTATCTATATATATAAAAATGAATGTATGTGTGTCTGTGTGTGTGTGTGTGTGTGTCCTTCATGCATTACCACACCGTTTATCCGACTGCCGTGAAACTTTGGGAAGTTGTTTAATATACTCCAGCGAAGGTTTGTGGCATAGTACGATTGCCATGAAACTTTGGAAAGTTTTTAATACCCTCCCGCGAAGTACATTTATCCTACGATAGATGGCGCGCGTTTACACGAGCGTTCGAGCACTGTGTGTTCGATCCATTTCAAATTGTGAAGACCATTTCCCCCCTTCAAAAAATATCTGTATATATGCATTTGTAAACTGTTATTTACGATATTTATAATAATTTTTTTTAATCACTTTGATTGTTGCTGCTTCCCTCGTGTTACATAATTTTTTTTTAACCGAAAGCAGCACAACATACTGTCCAACAGGTTTTGTCGACACAGAAGATTCGGATCATTCAGTCAATCTGGGACAATGGCGTGATGAGCAAAAACACTTACATAAATGTGGTTGGCAAAAATCTAACACATATAGTTGTGACGCAAAAGTGTTACGTGACAAACTTGCACAATATTTATGTACTGAAGGTGCCGTAGAATGGCAAGATAGCTGTGTTTATCGAGGCCTT